CCAGTAGCTGAGCCTGGCCCCATCCCTGCACCACCTGAAATAGCAGGGAACCATCAGCGGACTGGCACAGCTCGAAGACGCCCTCCATCTTGGTCTTCACAGGGCAGACGTCCCTAAAGGAGGCATCACTTGCCAGATCGCTGTGAAATTTTCAAATTTTGTCCACGCCTGACAACGCGAGCCCCTTTTATAAGTGATTGTGGATATATCGAGAAACAAGTATTGGATTCACGCCGCTGCTTTTGCGCGCCGCTGCTTTGGTGCACAGCGCACAGTAGTGCCTGTGGTGACGCTCCGTCAGCATGCACAGCACATTGCAGGCCAAAGGTGTTACTGTTGAGAGCTCCTGCACAAGATTGTGGAGGATGATCGAAAACAGAAAAATCGGACACAACGCAGCGGTTAGAGGTCTAGTGGACCCCTGCAAGCTGGCGGTGTGTTGAAAGACGAACATCCACTACTGCGAATACCGCTGCTTTGCGAGGTATGCATGTATGGTATCCTCATGCAATCGGCAACCGTCGATCATGCTGCCGGCTTTTGGTCAGGGACTGCTCCATATCTTGCTGGAGTTCGAGCAAGAAAAGCCGCTGCTCATCCGCTTGTGAAGGTGGCCCTGCCGCGGCCGCCGCCGCCGCCACCGCCGATGATGCCATGAACCTGCCTACAGACTGCATTGCTCCATGCGCCAGTGCTTCAGGAGTTTCCAGCATCCTGGCAGGCACCTGTACCAGCCTCAGCGGCTGCTGTTGTAACGGCTCCCCGCCAGGGTCGTTGTCTCCGCTGCTGGGCTCGCTGCTTGCAGCCGCCCCTGCTGCACAGGCGGAGTCTGCAGCGGCCCAGGCGCCCGACACGCGAGAGGCGATGCTGAGCCTGCGAGCAGCTGGCGCCACAGATGCTGCCTGCACGCACGAGCCGGCCTGGCTGTGACGCCTCGCCAGCGCCCCAGCAAGGTGCGAGTCGGGTGCAGCCGCATCCGACTGTGCCCAGGCTCTGCCCAGGCTGATGTCTATGTGCGGCCCAAGTTTTGATATCAGGTGGGAGGCCCTGCTGATCGGCGTCAGTGGCGGGCCGTCAGAATTGCTGCTGTTGGTCGTGGAGCGCCGTTTGCATGAAGCAGGGGTCGCCGCGTACACGGCCTTTCCTCCAGCAGCCCACACCTGGTCCTGCTGCTGCTTCTTTGTCTCTTGCTGCTGCTGCTGCTGCTGCTGCTGCTGCTGCTGCTGCTGCTGCTGCTGCTGCTGCTTCTGCTGCTGCTGCTGCTTCTGCTGCTGCTGCTGCTGCTGCTGCTGTTGCGGCAACAGCGGCTCGTGCTTCTGAAGATGCTGCTTTTGCTGCCGCCGTTGCTGTGCTAGCTCTTGGAGATAACCTGCATGTGCAGACGTGCCGGCCCGGTTGATTCGACAGTGCACGCCATGCCAGCAGCCATCAGCAAGCTGCAGGATATTGCTATCAGGGTGACGAAAGCCATGGCAGCAAATTCCTTGTCCTAACCCCATTCAGAGCAGCGTTTCACACTGTTGCATTCGCAATGCAATACTCACCAGCGCGCCGCTTTAGCGCAGAGTGTCCATCCAAGTACCGGTCTAGCTGCTCGGCAGTCGCCTCCGCCGTCACTGGGGACTCCAGGTCCGCCCCTTCACTGGACCCAGGCTGCTGCAGCACGTGTCGCTCAAGGCGCTCCCGCAGGCGCTCCGCGTAAGCAAATGGGCTGGCCAGAGCGGAGAGGTCAGAGCTGGTGTCACAGACGGAGGAGGCCGCCTCAATGGATTTTCGGCGGCCCAGTGATAGCTCAAGGCGCAGCTGCGGATGTGCGCGATCGCTAGGCGCCGCGGCTGGCGGCGCTGCCTCTTGCTGCTGTGCCATTGCTGCTCCCACAAAAGATGAGCGGTGCGGAGCGGCACACTGGGTGGAGGGCGCTGCGCACGCCGCCTGCTGCGCAGCAGGAGCGGGCGGCCCTGCCCTTGAAGCGCTGCTGAAACGTGCCGCGCTGCCGCTCTGCGCCGCACTTGGCCTTGCAGTAGTTGCAAAGTGGGGGGCTTCCTGTCTGACATCCATGTCCGAAATCACGATAGCCATGCGTCCATCGTCCTGTGCATCCACGTGAACATGAAGTTCTGGCTGCTGCTGCTGCTGCTGCTGCTGCTGCTGCTGCTGCTGCTGCTGCTGCTGCTGCTGCTGCTGCTGGTTGAAGTATGATGTCTTCCAGGCTCTGCCCGGCCCTTCCCCTCCCATGCTGCTGCGTGAACGCAAGCTTGCAGCTCTGCAGCCAACAGTGGCTGCCGACAAGTGACGTGTCAGCGTGATGGCGGTGGCGTCAGGAGAAGATTCAGGAGACACTGGCAACGGTAGCAGCGGCGCCGCAGGGTCCTGTTGTCCGCCCCCGCCGCTAGCCAGGCTGGGGCTCTGGCCGCGATGCTGGTTCACGTGCCAGTGCACAAGGCCACCGCGCGGGCTGGCTTGAAAACCACAGCGGGTTGCAACGCGCTGCAACAAATCCTGCATAAGGGGGATCCGCATGGCAGTGTCGGAACCCACATTCCTGCATACATGCCGTGTAGGGGACACCCGCATCGTAGCTGTCAGCAGCAGCAGTCCTCACATCACGCCATGCACCAGGCATATCACGTGACTGCACGGGCATCTTGTGCGGGTCTGCGCATGTGGGCGCACTGCATGCTATATGCAGGCGATTTCAAGGCCATCAGATTCCCCTGGATGATCAGCCAGGCCTGTGCTGAGGTGCTGGCTCGATGTCGCCCTCGTCACCTGGATGTCTCCATCGTTGAGAATCTCCTCCTGGCTGCCATACAGGCTGCTTGGCAGCTCCAGCCGTGCCAGCACACGCGGCACGCGCTCGCCCACCGCCGCGGCGAGGCCGTCCGCTGCCGGTGGTCCGCTCGGCGCTAAGTGGAGGCGAGGATACGCAGGCGCTTCGCCTGACGCTGCTCCCGCCGACTGGCTGTGCGCTAGCTGGCTGCGGCAGTCCGGCACGGGCCCAGACGCCTCTGCTGCAGCCACCTCTGCTGCCGCCAAAAAGGAGCGACAGCTGGGAGCCCTTGAAAGCTTGCCATTTGGCGGCGGCTTGACCCCACACGAGGGTTGATCCCCTGCACCGCTCAAATGGAGAAGCGGGGACCGCGGCCTGTTGCAGGCCTGAGCACCTCCACCACAACAGCCGACACCCTCTGGCATGTGCGAACCCCGCGGCGGCGCCGCCAACGGTGCGGCGTCGTCCCGCGCTGCTGCCGGCTGCTGACAAAGTGGGGCCGCCGCCAGCGCGGTGACGCCCTGCCTTGGAACAGTGGCCGCCTCTTGAGCTGCGTCAGTGGCGGCCTCCATGCCCACCAGAGGGGTGTGATTGAATCGATACACCTTCAGGTTCAGGGGCTGCCGCACCCTGTGGCCCGCGCCTGCAGGGCCACCCCCAGCCTCTGCCGCCGCCAGTGCGGGGCTCCTTGCGGCAGCGAGCGGGCCGCTGCCACGGAGCCCGCTCCTTGCGCCGGCTGGACCTGGATCTGCTGGCTGGTCGCCCTGCAGCAGCGCTCGCAGCTTGGCCTGCACGATCGTGCTTGTCTCGCTGATTACAGTCGATGCCTCATCGCAGCCATTCACCTCGTCGACACTGTCCTGCTGCTGTTGCTGCCCCTGCAGCTGGCTGCTGGCGTGTGCTGCCGGCTGCGCAAACCGCACCGTGGGCCGACGACCACGCGGGGATGCGGCTTCCTCCTCCTCGTCTTGATCCACCGCCGCCGCAGCAGCAGATGCCGCTGCAGACCCGTCTGGCTGCTGCGCCTGCTGCCGCCAGCGCCAGGACGCGGCGGAGCCGCGTGCGGCGCCCGCAGCGGCGCTGCGCTTGACCTCGCTCAGCCGCTGCCTGAGGGTGTTGAACTTTCCGAACTCCCTCTGGGTCACGAACTGCTCCGAGGCGGCGGCCGAGGCGCGCGGCTGGTTGGCGTTGATGCGCCCCAGTACCGCATCCCACTTCTTTTGTGCAGAGATCGGCGTGCTTGGGGAGGGCGTAGTGGCCTTCTGTTCAGGAGGGGAACAGGCCTGCAAATTGTGGTTGGCGCGGCGCAAGACGCAGGATGTCTTGACATGCCCGTGCGCTGCATCTCATCAAGGCGAGCCGCGGCGTACGTGGCGTTCCACCCACCGAATTGGGCGTCCGGGCGCCGGCGGCCCTCGAGGGAAGCAGCTCCTGCTTGACCAGCGCCCATCTGCTTAGAGGCTGCCCTGCCTGTGGTGGCAGCGCGCCGATGTCCAATGGTGGCGGCGCTGGCGGGCCGGAGCGCCGAGTGTTTGTGCGAGCTGAGCTCGCGAAGGCCGCGCCATCCTGCCCCTCACGACATCCGTGTGCAGTCATTTATAGTGGTTGATCGCGCCATGTTGCATTATGCGAGAATCCATACTGAACTCAACCACGAGCAGTCAGAGCATCGCGCTATAAGTTATGACACCGTATCGACGGGATGCCAAGCGCTGGACTCATATGAACGCGGACATATACGTCTCCTTTGACCCCACGTATGCGTGATGCGGCCCCGGCTTGTCTCGCAACTCTGCACACTGCACGTCCGCTTCAGTTCACGGCTGCTCCTGCTGCCATCCCTCTGCACACAAGGGTGGCTGCACGCTGTGCGCACCAAAAACCCCGTACAGGCTGTGTTTTCAGACAAATGCATCCCATGACAGATGGTTACATAGCTCTCAGGGAGCATGGGGACTTGGCTGCAGGAAAATATCCACTGGCGTTTCAACAATGACGGGACACACAGGTGGCGGGCCCAATAGACCAAGGCAGTAAACCCAGAAAGTCATGCCAGCCCCAAACCCTTGCGGGAGCAGGAGACGCCACGCCGCGCGCATTTGCGCCTCGCGCCAGGCTGTGTCGTCCTCAAGCCCAAAGGCGGGGTGGTCAAACCAATAATCAGCGCTCCAAAGGACCGCAAAGCCACACCCCCGCCGGCAAAGGGCACCGCAGCTGTTGCTCAACGGACCCTCGCGCCACCCGTGGTGCTGGGCCGCTTGCCGCCGCGGCTGCCGCGAGCCTCCACATCGCCGCCCGCCGACTTGCGCGGCGCCGAGCCCTTTGATGCCTCGGCTTCCGCGCGGCGGACGTGCTTGGCGCGCAGGATGAGGAACAGGCCCGTCGCGAGCGACAGCCCGGCGAATGCGCCGACGACGCCCCCCACCACCGCCTGCCACTTAACGTGGCTCACAGCCGGTGCGGTCGCGTCCTGCGGGCTGCCCTCTGGAGCGGCGCCCGCGCGCTTAGCGGCGGCCAGCTCGAGCTTCGCAGGCGCCGCCTTGCCCGCCGCGCCGGCGTCGGGCTGCGGCTGCGTGGGCGCGAGCACGCCGGCGTTGGTGGAGGCCTCGGCCGCGGCGGCCTCGAAGGATGCGGGTGCGGCAGCGGCGGCCGCGGCGGCGGCGGCGTCGCGCGAGGCCTCCAGGTGGACCGCCACGGTCTCGGC